CTGCCCTCCTGACTTCCTGCCAAGCCCCCCCCCACTTCCTTTCAGCCCAGACTCCCCCTGTGCCACCACTTCTCCTTGCCTTCTCCCTGCACCACACCTCCCTCTGGGGCTGGCTGAAGCACATGAGTTACTTTAATTGATTTAGCCAGTGCCCCAGTGCCCCCCGAAGAATTAAAATGCCCCCTGACTTAAAAATTCCCGGCTGCAGGCCTGGATAGCCCAGGCAAGCCTGATCTCATCAGTTCTTGGAAGCTAAACAGAGCCGACCCTGGCAAGTATTTGGATGGGAGACCTCCAGAGAATACCAGGGCCAGGAGGCCAGAGGCAGGCTATCAAGCCACTTCTCTGAATGTCCTCTGTGCCCCAGTAGGAGTCTCCAGAGGTCACCATGAAGTTCCAGGTACGGGGGTACAAACACACATGAACGCACACAAAAAAATGCAAAAATACCACCTCAAAGGAAGCATGGCTAAAAGGTTACATGTTTTAAGTATACCTCTTGAAAGGGCCTTTTAATTTGGCCGCCTATACACATATGCCGCAAGGATTTGCATATTCTTGATGAGTAACAATATATGCCTACAGTGGATATACCACCACTACATTATTGTCCTGTTCAAATAACAGTGCTTTTACATTTTAAAATCCAAAGATAGTTCTTTTAGATTTTGCTGCCAGCCATAGACCAGCAGTATAATTCAAGCTGCAGGGAGCATGTTACCCATACTGTTTACCATTTACTCTGGTTTCCAGTTAGTTTCTGAGCCAAGTTCAAGATGATGTTCAAAGTACACCAGGGATTGCTTCCTCATATAGAGGTCTGCCCAGACACTGGAGCATCACTGGTGGGTCCTCTCTGTATGTCTCCTGTCTGACATACAGTGGATGGCTATGAGTGTCCTGGGTCTGCCTGACAACACCTCCTCAGATGAGGAGGAGACAGATGAAGCTGGTTCCAGCCCTCGGATGCTGCAGGAAGCCCCGCTGGATAAGGAGGACACTTCGTCAAGTGCAGAGGGGGAGTCATGGGCTCAAATCAGTCTGCCACACCCACAGTCCTGCAATGCAGGACCAGAAGAAGAATTTCTGCAGCCACCATCCTTACCTCCAGGATCACCAGAGCCCTGGGAATGCTGGAGAAGGTGGGCCCAGAGAGAGGTGCAGGGCCTGCACTGTAGCATGTGGTTGGCGCCCCAGCATTGATCAATCTTTGCCTGTGAGCTTGAGCCACCACAAGATCAGGACTCACAAAAGCTCATACGCTGTCACACATTTTGTCAGTCATTAAGGTGTTACTGGTCTCCTGCTCCTTTCTACAGGATCAGGACTGACAGCCACATACTGTTCAGCCATTGATGAGTTGCACATGTCCCTGGATGAGTCAGTAAGCTGATGAGCTGCCCCTGCCCGTGAATGATTCAGCAGGGTTTTTCTGATTGAAGCAGCCAGGAAAAGGTGAGACACTGTGGGAGCAACTTGTTTACAACCCATGTGTGACTGACATTGGTTCTTTGCCTTGTTCTGAACTGTGACCTGGCTTGTGTCTTTCAGATTTGCCCTTAGGCATGTGCAACTCCCCCCCACACACAATTTTTCAGTTTGAGTCAACTGGAACCAAGAAGAATTCAGGATTTCTGAAAAAGCCCAGATCCCAATACTGGCAAAATATTTGGATCTGGAATTTTTCAGGAATCTTGACTATTTTCCAGGTCCAATAGACTTGAGATTTTAAAAAAATGGGGGGAAAACAGGAGCAGTAAAACCACAAAACACAGTTGAGCAGCAGGAGCACATTGCTCCTATCAGCTGTTTCCCCCTGATTTTTTCCTGCATTCCCTTTAAACCAGCCTGGTTTAAAGGGACTGCAAAAGAAAGCCGGTAAAAACAGCTCAGATGTGGGGAGCAGTCCCCCCACTTCTCAGCTGTTTCCCCCAATTTTTCCTGCAGTCTCTTTAAACCAACCTAGTTCAAAGGGACTGCAAAGAAAGTGGGGGAAAACAGCTTAAACCAGTTTCCCTGCCTCTCAGCTGTTTCCCCATTTTTTTTTCTGGAGGCTGGTTTAAAGGGACTGCAGAAGAAGTGGGGGGAAGCAGCTGAGGGACACAGAGCAGTTTTCCCGACTCTCGGCTGTTTTCCCCAATCTTCCCGGTTCCCGAAAAATCTCGGATACTTTTGGGATGCCGAAATATACCCCAAAATATTGATAGGGTATTTTTTGAATATGTTTTTGGCTTGGGAAGATCCGAATGCACACCCCTATTTGCGCTACTGGCATTGACACTTGGACTACTGAATAACTGTGCTTCAACTCCAGGACTGTGTTTTGAGTAGGCTTGTTGTCTCTTATCTGAGGTGCCTGCCTGAACCCAGACAATGAGAAAGCCAAATTCAGAACAGCACTGTAACTTTGGAACATCATCCCAAGGAAGTCTATAGCCCCATCCTCCCAAGTATGCTGCAGACTATGGAAGATAGTACTCTTTGGCTGCAGTCACACTGGTGGCTTGGCATGGTATGGTGGCTCCTCAAAGTGTATCAGTCCAAAATGTAGTGAAGCATTCCATCCACACCACACTCCCTGTGGCGGGTTACCCATGCAGCCATCCCATGGGGAGAGCATCCACATTAGTGTTGTGCTTCAACCACGGGATGAGCCATAAGAGTGGGTTTTAATTAAATGCAAGCAGATGGATGTACATATGTGCTCATGCGCATATAGGCAGCAACTAAAAAACAGTGGCGGAAACAGTTCTGCAAGTTCAGACATCCCTTCCGGGTTCCTTTCGCTGCAAGAGAGTTCAGCTGTTCGAAAACCTGGAGAGAACTCCAAACAACCCATTAAAACAGGACTTTCCCTGGTATCTGTTTATTCCACTTCCATTGCAGTACAGCACAGGCTGCTGATGACTGTGCTACAGGAAGTAGATGTTCTCATCTGGAGGGGCCCATTTATTCTGCTCAGGTAACACTACTATAGCACCACAAACTGCACATGTGACCGCAGTCATTAAGTCCTTTTTAAGAAGACTTTCATTGTGAACATTGTTTTAATCATTTTAAGTTAAACTGCAAAACTTATGATCAGCTGGTTCCTTTCTGATACTTCTATTGATTCTGCTATTCTGTGTGAAAATGGTAGGTTCCTTTTTGGACAGTTGTCATCTTCTGTAGTCTCATCGTACTTTTATTGGTTTTTAATGTATTGTAATACATTAGTTGCTGTAGATTTTCCGGGATGTGTGGCTGTGGTCTTGGTGTATTGTAATACACCTTGGGAGTTTGTTATAAGATAGATGTTCAGGATACAAATGTTCTTAATAAACAAATAACTAAAAAACAAACAAACCCTACCCTGGACAGTCAACATGTCAATCCTATCAGGTTAATTTACACCAAGGTATAGGTGATATTTAGCCATGGGTGGTGATTTCCCTGGGATCAATGCATAATGCTGTTGAATATATTCTGCCACATGTGTGTGTCCTTACCATTCAAATTTACCCTGCCAGGATTGGGGTTATCACTGGGGGCTGTCACTGGGGCTTGGAAGGGTCTGTGTGATTGGATCTATGTGTTGGCAGTCCTTCAAGCGTCACAGCACTCCCACAGCACTAGTGTAATGTTTAATTGGTGTAGATTCTGTGACTCCGTAGAAATACAGGAAGCTGACCTGAGTTAACAGAATAAAACACGTGCACTCATACAAAGTGGAAAAATTTATGAATGGGCCTTCTAAAGGGGCAATTAGTTTCAAAATGGTGACTAAAAGTATCATGTTATATTGGTGTTGTCTTTCAAGTGGTAATAAAAATCTCATCACAAGCAAGTTTTTTTTCTTCTCTTATCGCTGCTGGCATGTATTGAAAATTTATCAGTTGACCATCTGAATCCACCCATAGCGTATTTTCCTTCTATAATAGATACGGTAGACAACTTAAAGCTGTGTTCCTTGTGAAATTTTAAGACTACAGGACAGTAAACAATACTTTTTATTTTTTAAGACAGCAATTCTGTGCAATGTCTTTGCCCTCCATGGTGATAGATCATATAATTTAAATAAACAAAAGTAAGCTATCCAATTGGCAACAGGAATCTGAAAATCTCTTGGCTAAAATCCCTCTGTGGACATCAGCTAGCAAATATTGTTTACTTCCAGTGATTAGCATTAATGGATAAAATGCACTTTATGGATGTATTTTAATTTCAAGCATCTTTTTGCAGTTTCTGATGTCCAACTCACTTCTCAGAACAATGTATGAAAAGAAAATGAGAAGAAATACAACAAAAGAAAGTGTGCAAACATGGAGTTTACTCAGGGAAAGACTTGATCCCATATCACATTTCTGTATTAGCCTTTCCGAAACAATTTGGAGTCATGTAGATTTCTCAAGCTACCTCTTAAATATTTATTGAACACTGACACTTTATTTTGAGTCCATGTAATTCCACAGAACAAATAAGCAACTTCAGTGGAGAATTAGAAGTAGCAAAGTTTCATAATATAAGTTCCAAATAATTAAGATAAAGAAATCCAGCTTCCACAATTGCATTGTATGGCTCATTGTTTGGCAAGGAGACGAAAAGGCAATTCAATGAATTGCTGATTAAATATACTTTCAATATTCAAATCAGATTTGGAAGACACAAAAATAACAGCAAAAATTAACAGGTGCCCAACAAACTGAAAATAATTTCATCAAGTAATATCAGTTCCATGGGAAATACCTTCTTTGATGGTTAATATCTATCTGCAACATTAAATAAAAACAATTTTCTTGGCTCACAAAGCAGCTAAACAGATCTGGGACAGAGAATGGCATATCTCATTATAACAGGAGCCTCATATGACATCATTGCTCCACATTTCTGATTGTGGGCAAACTATGGGAACAAATGTACTTATGACAATTTTGGCATTCAAAGGGCATTGGATTTAAAACAGTCATTGAATAAAGTATTCTGCAAAAAGGAAAGTAGAATCCTGTTTGACGCTTGCTTACCTTTCACAGCGTGAACCAGAATACCCAACGGGGCATTCATCACATATTAATCCACGACTTCTTTCCAAATGGCACGTTGGGCTAAAACTGTGTTGTTTATGTAGAGCAAGAAGAGGAGCAAAAAGAAAGCACAAAAAGAAATTCATTAGTGGCATAGTTATTGTCCTCCTTCAGAAAGTGCTCCTTTCAAAACAGAGCATAGAGAAAACCCTCCTGGTTTCACAAACGGGGCTTAGGTTTGGCTCCAGCCAGTAGAGAACTTTAGAATCACTCTGCTATTTCTGCCGACACTGTATATAGCTCAAACGGATGGCAGCATCCAAATGACATGTTGTTATGGGATTTTAGTCTATCAATGAGTCGCTACACCATTTAAAAACAGGAATGTACAGCTGTTTCTCTGAGCCCTTGAAGGCCTGGCAATACACTCTATCCCAGACTGTGCTCCTCACTGAAATCTCACTGGAGCTGAAGGACAATTGAATGGGAAGCTCAGAAAATTCAGATTACATGGATAGTGAAATAAAACTACTCCATTAAAGAAGGTAGTTGAATAGGAAATGGCATGGTAATTCTTTCGGTGTCTGCCAAAGCTTTATAGTCAAGGTTTCTAAATGGGAATACGGTACACCTTAGCCAACCTGAACCATCACACTCAAAGATACACACAATCAGGAGTAGTGTAAGTTGTGGTCAGTTTCCACCCTTCAGGACATACTCTTTGGGGAAAGTTAAGATTTTAGTATAATTGTGAGAAAGGAATCACAGAACAACAATTATCCTGGCTTATTTATTTTGGGATGCTGAAATTGTTTTAATAAACCAACTGGAACAGCAACCAGCCATCTTCCATTACTTCATCTACTCTGAAATTTCAAGCTGGTTTCATAACTAAGAGCCATAGCTTTATAATTTGTATTTCAGACTTTCCTCTTTTATTTTTCCCCCTAGAAACATAACAGCAGTAAAACAGTTGTATCTCAGCAGCCCAGTCATTTGCATGTTTACAATCCCTTAGGATTGTATTTTACTCTCGCTGTGTACCTCTGCCTTGTAGCATTTGTTTGCTGTGTTTTTCCCCCTCTAGTATCTGATTGACATACTGTAATGAGGTAATCTGCTGGCATACTGGAAGATACAATCAGTTTGAAACAACAGGGTATCTGTCACTCTACTATTTTAAAGAGATCCATCCTCAATTATTCTTTCTTTTATTTCACTTTGAGATGTGTTTTCACGCCACAGCCATTCCATTTGCCAAATGACACAGTAGTAAACAGGGAGCCATAGGACAATGCTTGGTTAAAAGTGAGGGAAGTGGAGGAATAAAAATGAGCAAGTCTGGAACTGTTGTAATTCCACCACCGAAATAAACATCCACAAAATTATAAAATTATTTAGATATTAACTGTATCACAGGAAAACAAAAATAAGAAAGACATATTTCTACTGGAGAATTAAAGCCAGTTCAAGGTTGCCAAGTATGACCTTGTATGAAGGTCATGTACACAGTTCTATATGTGTTAATGTATCCAAGGCCCAACATGGTCATTTGGCAGTCTATGATCCATATGTAGTCCATATCCCTTTTTTTTTTGGTAGTCATGTCAAGAACACAAGTGCACTGATTCTTATTGTGAGGCAAACCTCTCATTTCACCACATCTCCAGTGAGTGTCACATGCAGCTTATTGTATGGTCCACCTATGAGGTCACCCAAGAGACATCTGCATCTCTAGGACAATCTCTTATTTGTCAAAGAGATAGTTACAAATAGATAGTTACTGGAAGACCCTACAAACATCTCTCTGTACTGAATTTTTCAGTGGAAGGGCACCTGCAAGCAATAAATTGTGTGAGCTTCTTCTGTCATATGGGGCCATGGACCCTTCCTCTCAGGATCTGCCCAGGGCTAGAGTACTGAACAAATCCCTTATCTGAAGGACAGCACCAGGATCTGGAAACTGGCTCCATCTCTGGATAAAGTCTCCCCAAGACCCTGAGTCCTTAGCTTTAGAGGACTCAGCAGAGCAACATGCCCCAACAGAAGGCTCCAGCCTTTGGGTTGGACCCATGAACAGTCTCTCAAGAAAACAGGGCAAGGTCTTGAACCAGCTGTCACCTGGACTCTCCTCTGAATCAACAAGACAGGCAGGCCCATAGCTACAGTGGGGCATTTGGGGGCGCCCCCTGACTTACAGCAAAGGCCCTTCAAATGCCTCCTGACTCTGTCCCCAATAAAGAGGTGGTCTCGGCCCCGCTTTCCGCCCCCATTTCCCACCACTTGCACTCCCAGCCTGCCCCAAGTTGTGCTTGTTGCTTCATGAAGGGGCACGAGGATGTCTGGTGCCAGCCTCATGCCAGGGGGAGGTCATGGCAAGGAATGATCCTGGGAGATCTTTAGCACCAATTGCCTAATCCCTCCGTAGCAAAACAAACAAACTAACAATCCCCCTCCCCCCCAAGGAAATAAGCACACTTGAAACTTTTCAGCCTCCATTTGGGGGCTGGGAGGCAGAGGGAGTTAATTAAATCACCTTTAATTAAGTTAACCAATGCCCCCCAAGAAATTAAAATGCCCCCTGACTTTAAAAATCCTGGCTATGGGCTTGAAGACAGGTTTAGGCAACAGGCGTCTGAGGATATAGGCCTGCAGAGGAGAAGGACCTATCTCACAGCTTGTACTTCTACAAGTCAGGATCATGGCCCAGTTAAGTACTTGCAAGGTAAGGTCCCAGAAAAATCATAATGAAAAGGTGGGGCCGCTTCCCTCTAGGAGTATTTAAGCCTCAGTCTTGGCTGAAAGCCTAGCTGGTTCAACTACTTCATGCTGAGCACTGTAGGAGTAAACTGTACTTGCTATGTTTCATGAGCCAGAGACAAGACCCAGATGGAGCAGATCTATTCTATTTTGCTCCGGATGGGTGGAAATTACAAGGGAGTCGTTACCGGCTAAATATCAGGAGAAACTTCCTAACTGTAAGAGTGGTTGAGCAGTGGAACAGTCTGCCTCGGGAGGTGGTGGGTGCTCTTTTGCTGGATGTTTTCAAGCGGAGGCTGGACAACCATCTTTCGGGTATGTTGTAGGTATGTAGGGCTATCTTTCAGCTATGCTCCTGCAGAGTGCAGGGGGTTGGACTAGATGACCTGGAAGGTCCCTTCCAACTCTAACATTCTATGATTCTATGATACCGTCTCTGCCCTGGAAATGGGCAACCTTACTGATGGTTCTGGCCTACAAGCTCAAGATCTTGGTCATTCCTATTCAGACTTTAGTGTTTCTCCTAACATCCTTGCCAGAGGGCCAAGTTGCCAAATATTTTCCTCTGAGCTATGGAACTTTTGTATAGAGTGGTACAGAGAGCTGCTTTCAGAAAGGGAATTTCAGAAGCACTGTTTTGAATATGGATCTATCTGAATAAGGTTTACTCTGTGAAGAACATAAGAAAAGCCATCCTGGATCAGACCAGTGGTCCATCTTGGATCTACTGCCCATCAGCTTCATTGGATGCTCTCAAGTTCTAGTATTTTGGAAGAGGGAGAAAAGATTCTTTTTATTGACTCTTTCTACCCCATGCATAATTTTATAAACCTCTATCATATTCCCCTTTAGTCAAAACGCCTGTCACAGACCCTACTCTCTACATTCCTAATGATAGAATCATCCATTGTGCTGTAAGAGAATCATTTCTTTTTTGTTGAATCTATGCAAGGCAATATTAGAACTGCATTTTCACTGCATATTCATATTAATGGTCTATTTTTTTAAACTGGTTGCCAGTAACTGATCAAGGATGCTTCAGTGACAGTTTAATGTAACTTTTACATCTCTGAGTTTACCACTTACTTGTTTGAAGGTATACTCAGTGGACAAGCACAAAGTTGACAATCATCAGGTTTCCCTGTAGTAGCATCTCCATAGAAACCAGGAAGACATCTATCACAATATGGGCCACCTGTGTTGTGCTGGCAGTCCTAAATTGGTAGGAGAAGATACAAACTTCCTTTTTAGAATATTAAAGCACAAGAATTGTAAATTGTAGTAAAATATACAGTCCATCGTTCTATTAATGGATACTTGGGCTTGTACTTACATATTTATTTGGTTTAAAGGAACAAAAATATCTAGGAATGAATCTTAGGGAGAGTGAAGACATTTTCCCCTTCACCCTTCCGCAGGGAGCAGCCTGCTGTTTTCTTTGCCAGTTGCAGCTCAAGACTCCTTTTCAAAGGTAAACTCATCTAGAGTACATTCCAATAAGTCAATATTCAGCTTTAAAAGATATGGATCTACAGGGATATATTATCTCTAGGTCCTGGCAAAAATCAACCACCAGGCAGTTAAGACCGTTTCAGTTTCTAAACCAAGGCTCATATCAATGTAACAACTAAGGAGGGCATTCTTACATCACTAGGAAAAATCACGTGAACTTGCTTCTGATTTAAAATTTCATATATTTTTTTTGCTCTCACTATCAGATATTCCCTATTCTTTGATACATTAATAATGCATATTTCAATTCTCATTTACCTTTATACATTCATGGTTCAGTTATATAGCTCAACTGTAAGCAGATCTCTATTTTTGTTGTTGTTAATTGTAAGGTCCAACTCCTGTGACTGCCCATGAATACCCAGAAGACTTATCTTTGGATGCTCTTCTGTACTTGATGGAACAACCTCCAGAGTTTCACCAGAAGATCTTGACCAAGAAGGTGAGACCACAAAGGTTGCACTGAGGCAATCAACATGCTCAAATAAAGGTGTTCCAGCCAAGTGACTCTCCTACCTCACAAGAATGGTGGAAGCACCAGAACCTGCTTCATGGGAAGAAATATCCCAACTACCACCACAAGAGGTGCAGAAGTGGAAGCAAGCTGGACGAGAGGAGCTTGAAGCTCTACACAAGAATAACAGAAGGACACTTACAGAACTACATCTGAAGAGGCAAGCTATAGGCTGCAAATGGATTTTCAAACTGAAACACGATGCGGAAGGAAAGAGCCAATGCTAGACTAGTAGCTAAAAAATACTCACAGAAATATGGTGAGGAGGACTATGATGAGACTTTTGCACCAGTTGTTAAACATACAACACTACTAAGTGATGCAGCGAGCAAGGGAATGCAAGCTGAACATCTAGACATGAAGACTGCATTCTTGCATGGGGAACTAGAAGAGGGCATTTACACGTAGCAACCTCCTGGATTCATAGAACAAGGAAAAGAAGGACTTGTATGCAAACTTCAAAAAAGCATCTGTGGGCTCAAACAAACAGCTAGAGCTTGGAACATGAGAGTGAATGAAATCCTGCTCCAGACAAGCTTCAAGAGAAGTGAATCTGATACTTGTCTGTATACCAAACACAAAAATGTCAAATGGACTTCAATTTTGGCTTACGTTGATGATCTGATCCCAGCTTATGAAAATCCATATGACAGCAAAGAAGTAGTACATCATCTGAATCAACAAGTAGAAGTCAAGCAGCTGGAAAACATCACACACCACTTAGGAATTCAAGTACAAAGAGAGAAAGATGGAAGTTTTCTTATCAATCAATAGCAAAAGATAAAAGAACTAATGAAATACCTGGGAATGGAAGATGTCTATCCTGCACCAACTTACATGGAAGTAAGCTACATCAAACAATGTGAGGACACCAAAGAACTACCTGACAGATATCATGAAGCATTAGGTAAGCTTCTCTACGTTAATACCCAGCTGGACCAGATATTAACACTGCAGTAGGATTACAGTGTAGAAAGACTACAACACCAACAAACAAAGACTGGAATGCAATTAAGAGACTTGTAAAGTACATAAAGGGTACTGCACACTTTAAGCTTAAACAATTACCCATTGACAGCCCCAAGCCTATGTAGACACTGACCTAGATGAAAGAAAATCCACCAGAAGCAAGATATAGGCCCCGGTCACACCGCAGGAAAAGCCAGGGCGGAAGTGTGGCTTTTTAGAGCCGCAGCAAAAGAGAAGCATGGCAGCGGGATCAGACAGATCCCCCGAGCTGCCGCGCATATGCTCCACGGTGTGATCAGATGCGAGGGAGAAGCCACGGACAGGAGAGCAAGGCGAGTCAGCTGCATATGTGTGCACCTGCGCAGTTTGGCAGGGGGCCTCGCATGCTGTGGGAGACGGGCACGTCGGCGATCACACGGCCGCCCATGCCGTGGATTTTCCAGTAGGTAGTAGTGTTTTGCAGGGGGGGGTTACTCCGCATCTTTGGCCGGAAGGGACGGGTTGGGGGCGGGGGCGCTATGCTTGCCAGATGTTGGCATCTGATCACGCCAGTTTAATCCGCCCTCAATCCATCCGTTCCGCGGGGCAATTCCTCCCGTGTGACCGGGGCCATAATTGCAGTTTCTACCAATAAAGCAGAATACATCCCTTCTGCACAAGGTTGTCAAGAGATACAGCTACTGACAGATCTAGGTATAGATGTACCACGACCCATACGATTATATGAAGACAACCAAAGCTGGATCCAGCTATTGAAACAAGAAGATGTGAACATGCACACCTAGCACATTGACATAAAGTATCACCTAGTGAGAAAGCTGCAAAAGGAAGACACTGCTGAGGTGACCTATTGTGCAACAGGAGAAATGATTGCAGATTTTCTCACTAAGCCACTCCCTAGAATTCGCTTTGAAGATCTAAGAGAAAAGATAAATCTTGTGAATTGAGTCATGAGACATCGAGAGGGGGTGTAGGAAGTGAAGGACAGTACACTATTTCTTGCCTCAGCATTCAGATGAAGAAAACAAGAGAGTCAGAGAGCTAGATAGACAGGAAACTGACCACACTTCTTTACTACTCTCTGATACTATCTTCTGATGTGTAGATTACTAAGGAAAAGTTTCCTTCCTTCCTTCTGGTTTCTCCCCTCTTTCCACACACAATGCTATAACTCTCCATCTTTGCAACATGGCAGCAGGATGTTTTCCTGCATCTCCATCCATCTAGCTAGTTAGACTAGATTGGAGTACCTATCTCTCCTCTGTTCTATCTAGAACTGGAGTTCCAATAATAAATTCTTATTATTAGTTTTGCAAATATAAAGAGGCTCTGTGTAACTTTGTCTCTTGCTTGCACACACACTGACTGGATGAGCTCTGCTGCACCAAAGCCTTGAGCACTCTGCTAACATTATATCCCAATACTATTTACAAAAGAAATCATTATATATACCATAAAGGCAAAGTGACTATATACATATAGTAACTACAAGGCTGTGCTGTGGATCAAAGGACTTTATAGGTTGCTCTGTGTTAGAAAGAGTTTTTACAATACAGGCCTATGTTACAGCAGTTGAACCAAGCTCTTATTATGAGCCAAAGAAACATATTTCAGCTTCTTTTCAAGTATATTTCAAAGCCTGGGAAGAGTCAAAAGAAGTAACATATCAGTAAATTAGCTGCCTAAATTGTCTGTTGTATTACTGCAAAAACACCATGAATAGAAATGAGGAGGCCAAAAGGCTCAGTACATCTCAACAGAAAAAAAAATCCTTTGATGTGAAGCATTCCTCTTTTTTTCAGCACTCAAACTTCTCTCTGTCTCTTTCACTTCAAAAGGCTTATGATCCAAATTGAATTGCAGCATTTAACAGTCTGCATTGGTACCTACCGATCCTACTTCACTTACAACCAACAAGAAATCCCAAAATAGATATCCAAGACTTTGTTTCTTTGTGCTTTGTTTCTACAGGATAATATAGTGTACTGATAAAGATACCATAGTGAAAGCACTGGATAAGTGTAGATAGATTAGGTAGATACTACATTATTGTTTTCAGGGCTGCATTTTCCCCATTTTTCTCACTGGTGTAGTATATCTTCCTGATAACGTCCCTACATATAACCAATAGTAGAGTTCAATAAATCAGTACCTCCAAGTCAATGGTTAGCAGCAACTTCTACCTAGATCAAATGCTTCAAAATGTTTTGCTTAGTTCTTCAAAAGCCTTGCCACATGCTACTTGGCTGTATGTCCAAATTTACAACTGAGTAAATTTATGACTGAGTATATCCAAATTTACGACATAACAAGGAGCTGCATCCAGTCTTAGGTCCCTGATGAATGTACATACAAGATAACATATATGGAGCCAGTTTGGTGTAGTGGTTAAGAGCTAGGGTTGCCAAATCCTTCTTACCTCGCGGCAGGGGGCTCCCATTCAGCGTCTTGAGCATGCTCTATGTTTTCCCCTCAAATAGCTGTGGCCCCACCCCCAGCGTGCCCGGCGTCATCATGTCACATCCAGGTGACATGCACACCGGGGTGGGGTTTCCCCCGGGGCCCGATTCCGCAGCGGTGGAAATCGGGCCTCCAAAGCGGGGGGAAATCCGCCCCCCGGGGGGAATTGGCAGCCCTATTAAGAGCGCAGACTCTAATCTGGGAAAACCAGGTTTGATTCCCCACTCCTCCACATGCAGCTGCTGGTGTGACCTTGGGTCAGTCATAAATTCTTTCAGAGCTGTTCTCTGTGGTGGCTCCGCACTGGTGGAATGAGCTCCTGGAAGATACTAGTGTCCTGCAGGACCTTTTACAGTTCCACAGGGCCTGTAAAATGGAGCTCTTCCACCAGGCATTCGATTCGAGCCACACCTAAAAGTTAAGCATGGGTTTAAGACTCTATGCCCTGGAACTATCAGCAGCAGCCTGTTCCTCGCCGGTATAAATTGGAATTTAGTATGGGACCGAGTTAATACTACCAGAATCAGTGCTTACTATATTCCCATTATGATTGAGCTGATACTGTGTTCAGCCATCGTATTTGTTAATATTGCACACCAGCACTTTTAAATGTTTTAAATGTCTTATGAACACTCTGATTTTATCTGTTTTAATCTTTTATGTAAACTGCCCTGAGCCTGCTCTGGCGGGGAGGGTGGGGTATAAATCAAATAAATAAATAAAATAAATAAAAAACCTCAACTAAAGTTAGTAATCTCT